TAATTAAATAAGCACTAATTAAAAATTGTGGCTAAATATTAAAATATTAAAAAGATAAATTTGTCAATAAAATTAAAAAATTTCAATTTACTAACAAATTAATACAAAAATCTACCTTAAGTGACTTTTTCAATTCATTAGTTTTTTTGGATTCTAACTACCATATGTTAATATTAAATCATTAAACAAAAAATTTTACTAAATATTTAATTTATAACAATTTTAAAATAACTAAATTTCCTAAGCATTTATTTGTAACAATTTAGATAAGATCACTATCTGTTTCTCAAAACTTTTATGTTAAACAGGACCTAAATCACCGAGCTTCCAATTTGAAACATAAACTATTGTGTCACAAGAGCCATTTCAATATTGCTAGATAAATATTTTTTAATTTTTCATTTAAAAGCCAAAGTAGCCAACGATTTAAGTAATATAATAGTTATCTTCATCCGTCGAAATAAGAGATACTGAATTTGAATCGCATGATATGTGGGTGGGGTAAAATAAGGAATAAGAGATGATTGTTTCTCATTGTATCACTAAAATAAAAAAATAAAAAAAACGCCAAAATAGAAATAGGGAACGGTGGTATCGTAATTCACCAGCTTCTTGAATCATTGAACCTCACCATGAAAACAGGGAAGAAAATGCAGCCTTGTGGCTGTGCTCCGATGGACATGAAATCCCGTCCCCACAGACCCTATTCAGTGCTCACGCGCGAGTCTTAGCATCATGAGACTAGAAAGTGGAGGTTGATGTGTACGATAGTTTTGACGATCCATTCATATGTTATCTTTCTTAGAATGTATCATTGTTCTTGTCGTAATTCCTCGAATGTGCACGAGGCATTTGTCTAGTAATGTACCAACTAAGATTCTAAATTACCTGTTCTTTCATATTATTAATTTTTTTATATTTGTGTTTTGATATTTCTTTTTGTTGCACTTTAAGTAATACTTTTATATACTAGTATTTAAAATAAAGTTATTAAAAATAATTTTACAAATACAATTATCATTCATATGTTATTTTTTTCTTTAGAATTATCATTTATTTTGTTATATATAAGTATTATGTAAATATTATGTAAAAAAAAAAAAGACAAAGAGAATAAATCGTAAAAATTCAAGATATCATGATAATTAAAACATTAAAAATGATAAAAAAACATTTTTATATTCTTAATAAATTTGTAACGCAACAAATCTTACATGTAAGTGTGATTTGGTATATAATAATATAAATAAGGAGATTTATTACTATTAAATTTAAGTTTTTGAATATTAAGAATTTTAATTTAAAGAGTTATTAAATTAATGATGAATATTGGTGAATTTAATCTTTTTCTGATTGTCAATTGTAAGAGTCTTACTTTATCTTAGTTATGATTTAGTTTGATAAAGACGGTAATACTCCAAATTCACATTGGGATGGAAGGAATAATGTTTGTGACATTGACACTTCTCAGGCTTGAGACTTAGCAAATATTGAGGCACCAGCAGATTCAGAAATATGTCGAGAAAATGATGTGGTCAGAGAATTATATCTCCAAACTAAAGACTATATATGTATCAGCATCAATGGCATTGGCAACGGTCCAGCTAGCATATCCTTGGATTGTAGAGGCCAAGAATATGATTACATTCATGCACCATGGACAAATAATCATTAGCTTTCCAATAATTAAGTCGTTATCGCCAAAATGATAAAATCACCATGTCAAAAGCACAACAACAACACACACACACACATTATCATCAATTTTTTCCCCCTTTTCCTAATTAAGGCATTGTATTTTGTCTCCTTTTCGCCTGGCCAACTTTAAGGTTTAGAAATATAAAATTAATTAATGATTATCTTTCTATAATGACAGCTTTAGAAGTGGATTAGATCAATTGAAAAAAGGATAATATTCGGGCGATATTCCTTTCCAATTTTCCTTATCTAAAATAGAGTAATTGTGGAAGAGGCGGAGAAGATGAGATTACAAGTACTGGTGCAAGGGTCGTATCCTACAACGCCAATTGGCAATCCACTTGAGCAAACTGGCTTTTGCCACTTCTTTCCCATGTGGTTGGCATTTTCCTTGTTACCAATAATGAGAAAACATTGAACATTATGTTTACATATTTAAATGTTTAATAATTTCGTAAATATCTTTGGCTTGTTTTTTACCTGAAAAGACTATATTAGTGATGGTATTTGGTGGTGGGGACTAATGTTTGTGATTTGTGAGAATGGATGACCCTGCTTCAGCTGATCATTTCCTCATTTTGAAGAACATTGTCAACGGTTGATGTGACACATTTTCTTGCGGGTGCATGAAACTTAGAACTGCTTTGACCTTGGTCTTCCTTCACTTGGCTCCGCACTAAGCAGAGGCCACATAATTTTCGTAGACATGTAATTCACATCAAAATTAAGAGATATAAGAGAAATCCTACCACTACCTCAGAAAATAACCTCGAGCTGCCGGAATAGGTAATTGTTTTAGTGGAAAATGTTGTGTAATTTGACTTTGATTGGCCAAATATAGATTGTTATAACTATTGTTATTGGAGATATGAGGCTATTTTCTCTTTAAATTAATAAAAAAATATATTTTACTCTAAATAAATTGTATTTCATTTAATTATTAATAAAAAAATAAATATCTTGATATTAAAAATTTAGTATTCTATCTATGACCAAAAATAATGTAATTTATATAAAACAAATTAGACTTCTTTTAAAATTAATAGTTCTGAAAACAATTGTACTCCTGTTTTAATTTATTTTATTGGTGAGGGGTCCAGGGTTGATCCACCCGCAATAAACTATCAAAGTGTCCATTAGGACTCTGTTTGCCCTTTCTCTCTCTCCCTCTGCTAGGTCAAGTAACAAGCATGTAACTTGACCAGAGGAGAACCAGAAACATCTAATGGCTTTGTTGTTTCATTTTTCACCGTAGCACAACACAGTACCTCTTAGACCAACCCTGTAAATTAAAGACAACGTGTTGTAATAGCTCACGCAATGTTTTTGAATCATGGTTGTGATATTGTTTCATAACAAAAACCTGCCATGCATTCTGTATTCTAACACAAGGTAAAAAAAATGCAGAAAAATAGGAGGAGGTCGGCAGCTCTAGTTGGGGAGTTGGGTTGAGAACTGACGGTGTGAAAAGGAACCTTCTCCTCAGTTTTCCCGAACCCAGACAAAATAGAGACCCCAAACTGAAAACTAAAGGGAAATACACGTTTTGCACGTTGAACGTGACACCGTAACATTGTATGTA